CAACCAGCTCGAGTTAAGTTTAATATTCATGCGACAGTGAGATTTCATACAAATATGAATAAATCTTTTTTAAAAATTTATAATTGGAGTATAACTTTTTTTCTATACCAATCAAGTTACCAACTTGTAAACATTTGACGGAGTAAGGAAAGGGGAAGGCCACAGCTCCCCTTGCCCTTTTGGAAAAAAAGTTTATTCTTTTTTAAGTTTTTTTTATAAAAATATTAATAAAAAAACTAATATACATAAATAAATATTTAGCTTGAAAATTTTAATAAATAATTCAAGAATCTAAGTTTAATCCAAATATTTATTTGAAATAAAAGAAAATAGTTTTATGAAATGCTTTTGTTTTTCTTTTGTGATTATAATTAAAAAGGTCCTATAAAAGATTTATTTTTTAAAAGAATATTATAAAAACGGTTTTAAAATCCCTAACTAACCCTAAAATTCCTAGACCTCCACTCTACTTATTTTCATCAGTCATTCTTCATAATAGATGGTCGTATTTTGTATTATCAGTTAAAATCCTTTATTATGTCTCTTTTTATCGTTCTCTAATTTTGTATTGTACCCTCTTAATTGTTTTAAGCTACTAAATAATTTTAATTTCTGATAAAAAAAATGTAATTTTTTACTTTTTGAAGATATTCATCATATATAATTTGTAAGTTGGCTATAGTGCTCATGTTATAAATGAAATAATTTAAGTTTATAGAGTCATCTTTTGCGTTAATAAAAAGTTTTAAAACCGTATAATATAAAATTATAATATAAAATTTTGTAACAATTTTATTTCATGACACTATAAACTTAAATTATTTTATTGTTAGATAAAACTTCTTCCATTAATTCCTATAATTTGAGCAAATGAAATAATTTAATTTTATATTATCATATTACCTGTTGAGTTATCTCTTTAATTACATATGTTATAATTTTATTATTATATTTAAATGTGATAAAAAAAAAAAATTGGCCCCCTCTTCAATTTTGGTCAAGCATCATCCCTACTTGCAAAGACAATTACAATTTTACAAAAGAAGGATTAAATAGACGTGCATGGTCATATCATATTCTTAATTAGAAACTTTTAAAAGGTGATAATTTTAATTAGTAAAGAAAAAAATGTCATATACTTAATTAAAAAGTTTTGAAATGTTGTGCCCATTTTTGTACAAAAACTCATTTTAGTTTCTAAAATATTTTAAAAAATGCAAGACTTGGACTTTATTTGTATATGATATACTATACATACTACTTTTCACACACACGCCTTATTTGGAAATGTAAATTTATTATAAATAATTTAATTATTTTTTTAATCTATTTTTAGTTATTTTAATTCATATTTTATGTATCTTTACAATCATAAAAAAAAAAAAAAAAAAAAAAAAAAAAACAGACAACCAGAGTACAATATAACACCACACACCAATACCAAAACTACGGGAAGAGAAGAGGAGAGGGAAGAGGGAATAGATTTTTTTACTAATCAAATTGCATTATTTTTTAATGTTATAATTTGATTAGTTAAAAAATTTATCATTTCCTTCTCTTATCCTCTCCTCTCTCTCTTCATTTTTCTCTAACAGAGATATACTCCAAATTCCCATTAAACCTTCACTGGCCTGCTTCTAATTAGTCATCAATTCAAGGACGACAACCCAAAAAAATGCCCTCAAACTTTACCCTTAACCTTTTAAAATAAGCATATATACCCTTATACTAATCGCCTTGAGTAAATTGAGGACAAAATTAACGATTTTATTTCAAATTTGTCAGACAGCGTTTGGCCTCCATTTCCCGAGGACAAGTCAGCTGGCATTCCAAATTGACAACTCTAAATGGTGTATAAAAACGAAAAAAAGTATAGATCTAAATGGTGAATAAAAATGTTAACTTTAAGAATTCAATGGAGTAATTCAAAAGTTAAGATTTTGAAATTTTTAATTTGAGATTTTAATTTCAAAACTTGAGTTGAGTGGAAAAAAATTGAAAAAAAAAGAGAGAATTATTCATTTTTATATAACTCATTATTATTAAATATACAAAAAAAAAATGTTAACCATAAGGCTTGAACCTCATTAGGAGAAGCTTATAAAGGGCCTGTGTGTGTTTAGCATAGAGATTAAAATTTAATTGATAGTGGGTAATTGATATCGAGTAGCAAATAGC